CAACATCTCTCGAGCAATTTAACTTCAAATGACATAAACTTACTTGACATGATTATAAACACTGAAATAACTTAAAAACATGAATTTTGCACGAAACGTTGGACTCGGCCGCGGCCGGCGCACCGTGCGCCGCCAACGGCGGTAAGTCGTTTCACGACTCAACTTGATCTTTTCTCGGCAATTTATTCACAACTGAACATGACACATAATTTACTGAACAAAATAACATGAAATGCTCAAGGGACTGAACCTAACCTACACGTTACACATGTACGACCCGTGGTGCGCTCTACGTGCGCGACCACGTCCCTTGGCCGAATCACCGAACAAACATGAACATACTACGAGCAAAACAATCCGACTGAACATGATATCGCATAAAATAGCTAGATATGTGAAGTTTGCTCGAAAGATTGAATCCCACATGAACATGCTTAACATACACCACACGCACGGCCGAGAACAAAGTAAGCTATATCGTGAACATGACTTACTCAAACTTAATCTTAACATGACTTTAACATGATCCAACAAGGTAAACTGATGTTACCTTCTTAAACACTCGGCTGATCGCTCTAACTGGTCGGGACAACCAGAGCCTCCGCGCGGGTGCAATTCTTTCGACGTGCGGTGCGGCTAACCTTGCGTGTGGTGCTTGCGGTAACTACTAAGCTTGGAATAAAACTCTCAATTCTCTCTAACTCTCTAAACTTAAGTACATATATAATATGAGATGATGAGGAAAATTTTCTCCCCATACAAGCTATATATATATATGGACCGAACAAAAAAAATAAGGATGATGATATGAATTGTGGCTTAATATTAGCAAGACATTTGCCATAACCTTGGAGGTTTAAAAATGATTAGTCATCACATATGCTCCTTAAAAGTGACACCTCATGCTAAGACTTCAAGAAAACTTCCCCCACCATTACTCATAATAATGCCTACGGCATTTAGGGAAAAAAGTTGGGAAAAAAAATATTGCTCACGGCTATAATTAGGTTAAACATGCTTAATGTTGAATTAAATATAATCTATATACTTAATTAATCACTAAACATGATACTTAATATCTGAAATAATTCCGAACGTAAACGAGACGTCGAAAATAATTTCGGGTAATCTCGACTGAAATAATTAATTCCGGAAATAATAATCGACATTATTATTATATCAGAACTAAAACATGATTTATATTATTAATCTGACGGGATATTACACCGTCGGTCGCCGCCCAAGCCCAGCCATGCGCAGCGGACCGCTACCGCGAATAGCCGCGCATAGCCGAGCCCAGTCTGCGACGCTCAGCGATGTCTACCGTATGATCCCCGCGCCCAGCAACCGTCCCTGATCTCCTAGCACAGCCTGCCTGCTCGCCGATCGCTCCAGCTGCCAATCGTCCTGTCTGCGAGATCCCAGCGCCCGTTCGCGACGCGCCTGCTATTCTTCGCACGCCCAGGAGAGCCGCAGCACACGCCCGCGTGATCCCAGACACCAGCGCCTAGACCGCGAAGACCTAGGAGTCCCAGCGCACGTCCGCGACA